TCATCATCATCATCATCATCATCATCATCATCATCATCATCATCATCATCATCATCATCATCATCATCATCATCATCATCATCATCATCATCATCATCATCATCATCATCATCATCATCATCATCATCATCATCATCATCATCATCATCATCATCATCATCATCATCATCATCATCATCATCATCATCATCATCATCATCATCATCATCATCATCATCATCATCATCATCATCATCATCATCATCATCATCATCATCATCATCATCATCATCATCATCATCATCATCATCATCATCATCATCATCATCATCATCATCATCATCATCATCATCATCATCATCATCATCATCATCATCATCATCATCATCATCATCATCATCATCATCATCATCATCATCATCATCATCATCATCATCATCATCATCATCATCATCATCATCATCATCATCATCATCATCATCATCATCATCATCATCATCATCATCATCATCATCATCATCATCATCATCATCATCATCATCATCATCATCATCATCATCATCATCATCATCATCATCATCATCATCATCATCATCATCATCATCATCATCATCATCATCATCATCATCATCATCATCATCATCATCATCATCATCATCATCATCATCATCATCATCATCATCATCATCATCATCATCATCATCATCATCATCATCATCATCATCATCATCATCATCATCATCATCATCATCATCATCATCATCATCATCATCATCATCATCATCATCATCATCATCATCATCATCATCATCATCATCATCATCATCATCATCATCATCATCATCATCATCATCATCATCATCATCATCATCATCATCATCATCATCATCATCATCATCATCATCATCATCATCATCATCATCATCATCATCATCATCATCATCATTAATACACTTTTTTTATAAACCATGTACTGAATTAACTTCAATTTATATGTCAATCAAGGTTTAACTTGTGTTACATCTATGTTTTATAAATTGAATGTTCTTAATCTGTTGTTGTAGACAGATAAATTATCAAATCATGATGTTTGGTATAGACAATAAATCACTGTTTTTTTCAAAATGGATTGTGTAACATGTAAAAACGAAGGATAGATAATTGAAAGTTTTAGCAATGTTAAAGCAATAGATTATAATCATACTGAATAAATATGGACCAGATAGCACTGGACAGTAATAAGGAGGACATGATACACCGGAGATTGATCATTATCTAGTGACCAATCAATTGTAATTACATGCCACAGGAGGTTAGTCACGACTCGGTTAGATCATGGTGGTCTAGCTTCACTTGACTATAATATCCACAAAGCTCCTTTCTGATAATAATTATTGACCAGTAATTACTTTAAAAACCTTAGTTGTAGCTTAAACAACTTATAGGTTAATCTTATTATTCGAAGAGTGGAAACAGATCTGAATACTTCACTATTGGAGTTTATGATATAACTGACAAACAGCAGATTTAATCCTTATTATTATTATTTATTAGCTCAAGAGTATATTGAGTAAAAGTTATTAATTATTAATAAATATTCTTCGGATGTAATATTTTAGCTGAATAAACATATAGCGACTCCAGGCGGAGTTGATAATCAAATCTATGATTTATAGATTAATATATTATTAGTGTTGGTTCAAAGTTAACATCGACCGTCCAAAACAGTGTCAGTATAATTCTAGGAAAAAAAAGAATATTTTTCAGTCTCCCAATTAAGTTTCGAAATCTTCTACCCAAACATGATACGTCCTTCTACATTCTCCAAATTAATGGACAATAATTTTGAATAAATGCATTATCAAATCAATAAAGGTTTAAACAGACTTGTATAGTAACAAATTTTCAGGAATACTATGAACATTTTTTAACTTGGTTATTTTACATTGTTCAGCTAACCCAGTAAAGTAGAAAATAACCTGAACAAAATCTTATACCAAACGTAACCATTTCGAAGATAATAGGAGAACCGTTTGCCTCTTATCTCAACAAGAACACACGTAATTTATATTTACCAAACATTATAAGTGTATTAACTCAATCAGTACCACTTTTGGTACTACTGCTGGTATCAAACCTGAATAAAGGAGAAGGGTTAGATATGAGATCATCAACAAGCTTGCTATGAAAATACTGACCAGGAAAAACAATTAAAGCCATTTAAATTCTGCCCTCCGAGTTGAAGGATCTTCATTTAGAAAAATTATAACTCTTCATAGTGAAAGCCGAGATTCTTCGGAAGTTAAGAGGCTGACGCTCCTTCTAACAACCATAGCAACGATTTATTTAGTTAAACTGGACGTCCAGACAATTTGAGAGACTAAGAGTTTTATTTAAATAGGTCCGGAAATGAGGAGATACAACCTGGTGGTTCTCAGAATATGTCAAACTCGGGCCATGGAGAAGAAAGTGCTTCCACACTCAGGGAGTTGCTTTGATGCTGTCCAAAGAAACACGTAATGCACTTATAGGATGGGAACCTCAAGGATCCAGGATTATCAAAACATCGCTCAAAACAAAGGAGGGAATCACAATGAGTGTTATCCAATGTTATACACCCACCAATCGTAGTAACGACGACTAAAAAAATCAGCTTCACTAGAGGCTGCAATTGATCATAGCGAAGTGTTCAGTAAAGGAATATGACCATCCTGATAGGTGAACCTAACGCCGAAGGTAGGATGGACAACACCAGATATAAAGACATTATGGGACGATATGGACTGAGAGAAAGAAGTTAAAATGATGACAGATTTCAGAATTACGTGTCTTCAGCAAAGTCATTATAAGTGGCACTATATTTCCCCGCAAACGCATAGCCAAATCTACATGGGTCATACTGGACCACACTACATAGAACTAGATCTATCACCTCAGCGTCAACGAAAAACTCAGAAGATCAATGGAAGACGCGAGATCAAAGAGAGTTGACATAGCTTCGCACCACCCTCTGACTGTGGTCAAGATGGAACTGAAGAAACACTGGACATAAGTAGAAAAAGCATTACGATGGTTTAATATAGCTTTCCTTTGAAATACTGAAAAACTCAACAAATTCAAGATAACTCTCAACAACATTTTCCAAGCATTACAAGATCTACTCAAAGAAGAGGAAAGTACGATGGAGGACATCTGGAAAAGAATCTAACAAGCACTGACTTCAACGTGTCAGGAGGTTCTAGAAAGCAAGAAGCATGGATCTCTATCGAAACTCTACACAAAATTCAAGAAAGGAAAAACAATGAGACAGCAACTAATGACAGCCGAATAAGGCCAGCGAAAGTCAAGGTACAAGCTAAATACACAGAAGCAAACAAACAAGTGAAGAAGAGCATTAGAGCCAGCAAGCGGAAATACGTGGAAAACCTAGCGATGACAGCGGGAAACCTATAAGAGAACTGAATGATACAACTTTATGATCCAACGAGAAAACTAACAGGAAAATACAGAATATTAGACAAAAGAGTCAGGAACAAGTGACGAGAGCATTCTGGAGAGCTCTTAAGTAGATCCGCCACATTGAACCCACCGGACACTGAAGAAGTAGCAAGAGACCTTCCTAAAGTTGTCGCACAAACAATAATGGAAGAAGTCTGCATCACTATTAGATATAAAGAATTACCACACCAGCTCAAGGATAGAAGTCAGATATAAAGGTTGGCGCAAAGATACTCCCTATCCTATTCAGAAAGATGTAGTAGGAGGAAAAGGTGCCGACCGACTGGAAAGATGGTTACCTCATCAATATATCAAGGAGTGGAGATCGTACTGTGAGAATGTCAAAAGTATCGCAATATTACATTACCAGGGAAAGTTTCCAACAGACTGTTTGTAAACCATATGAAAAGTTCAGTAGACACTCAACTTCGAAGTCATTAGCCTGGCTTTCGTCAGGATCGATCATGTACTAAACAAATTATGACACTGTGAATCATTTATAACAATCAGTTAGATGTAGCTCACCGCTATACATTAACCTCATTGACTATAAGAAGGCATTTGACAGAGTCGATAGAAGAACTTTATGAAACCATCTTCGACATTATGGTGAACCTGACAAGATTATCACCATCATATAGAATTATTACGATGGACTTTACTGCAAAGTCGTACATGGAGAATCGCTCACACATGCATTCTTAGTAAGGATCGGAGTCCGAAAAGGCTGCTTATTTTCCCTCTTCCTCTTTCTTTTGGCAGTCGGCTGCATTATGAAGACCTCCTCATCAGACGAGAAGCACGGAATACAATTGGCAGTTTTCGTGCAATTAAACGATTTGAACTTCACAGATGACCTAGCAATTCTATCGCATACACATTAACATATGCAGTCAAAGACAGCAAGTGTAGCAGTAGCCTCTGCATCAGTAGGCCTCAAAATACACAAGGGAAAAAGCAACATCCTCAATTACGACACGAAGACAACAATCCAATAATACTTGATGGCGAAACTCTGGAAGATGTGGAATCCTTCAAGTACTTGTGAAGCATCATCGATGAATAAGGAGGATCGGATGCAGACGGAAAGGTGAGGATTAACAAAGCAAGGACAGCATTCTTACAGATGAACAACAACTAGATCCCAAAACAACTGCCAGTCAACACCAAAGTCAGAATCTTCAATGCGAACGTCAAAACAATTCTACTGTGAGGAAGCGAAATGGCGAGAACTGCCATAACTATCACCAAAAACGTATATGTATTTATAAACAATTGTCTGTGTAAGATTCTCAGTATCTGTTGACTGGATACGGCCACAACCTACTGTAGGAGAGAATAGACCAAATTTCATCAGAAGAGTAAATTAGGAAAAGACGATGGAAATGGATACAGATCGATACGGAAATCATTAAATTGTCCTAACTTGGAATCCCGTGGACAAGAGGAAAAGAGGAAGACCAAGGAACACGTTAGGCCGGGTATTGGGGGCAGAAAATAAAAGAATTTATATCAACTGGAAAACAACTTGAATGGATTGCCCAGAACAGAGTTGGATGGAGAACGCTGGTGGGTGGTCTATCCTCCTCCATGAGGATTGATGGGCATAAGGACGTTTAAGAGTAGTAATTGAATAATAATGACATTTTGATCGAAACACCATGACATCCTAATCCATATAAGATATCGTTTCGAGGCATGTAGAGATGTAGTACATCAAATATTCAAATGGCTTGTGTATGTAGAATGTTAAATATGACTTATGGATTAACTATATTTATTGGTTAGAAACTCGTGAGAATGGTATTCGAATAAATCACTTCGGTTTACTTCAAACGATTTATCATTTTGATTCTTAGGATATCATTTTATTTTGTTACCAAACAACATTAAAGGAAATGTTGTTCAATGGATTGGATACTGTTTTTATCACTATTATTATTGTTTTATCCCGACGAGAATAATGAATAGTAACTTTTGAGAACTACTTATGAACAAATACAACACATATATTTTTATTGTATAATTTTTAAGTGACTAAACTATTCATATTTGTGTTCCCCTTATCATAAGCTTTATTTTGACCTATGAACTATTATTATACGATTTACCATTCTTGAGTTATGCCTGGTCTATTAATTACAATCTCCCACATTCACAACCACTTTTGGTTAAATCTTGTACAAATGTTCTTTCATATTTTATGATACGATGTGGTCTGTTTGGTTTGTATATAAACCCAGTATGTTTGAATTACATGATTCATATTGCAGAAGCTAAGATTGGTGTTCTGGACTTAACAGGCAGGGCTAAGCAGGAATCAGGACTGATAAAGTTTCTAGAATGCTCGTACGGGTTTTTATTTGTCATTGGTTCGATCGATAATTCACTGTTCTCTAATTGGCGGTATCATTACGTTATACATTAATAGGACACAAAGCCACAAGTTATAACAATTATTGTTATTATTAT